CCCACCCCTCACCCCCGCCCCAGGGTCTCCCCTGCCAGCCTCCTGCCCAGACCCCTCAGCGGGAGCCTCAGGCTCAGGAGGCATAGGCTCCCAGGCCCAGGGAGCGGGTGATGATGTCCTTACCTGTACACAATCCTCTCCCTCTGAAGGTCCTCCAGGCCACAGCACAGCTCTGCGGCGTAGAAAACCGCTCTGTGCTCTTCAAAGCCGGGGTTGCCCAGGTTGTAGATGTGGAACTTCAAGTCTCCTCCATTCATAAGGGTCAGCACGAAGCACAGGGAGTCTTTGGTTTCGTAAGTGTAGCACAGGCTCACCTGGAGGCAGCAGCGTCACAAAGACAAAACACAGAAGCCTGCCCACTCTGTGCCTCAGGGAGCTGCCCCCCACAGGAGCTTCTGGAACCTTTTCCTGTTGAGGACCCTGGGGCAGTTCTGTGCTGAAGGCAGAGAACCTGCCACGTCCAAGTGGGCAGCTGGCAAAACTTCACAAAGACACTGGGATCACGATCCCAAAGCTACCCTCCCCTGGAGCACTGGCCCTCCATGCTCCAGGACACCCGCACCAAGCCCCAAGTTAATCACTTAACTGCACCGCCTACCCGCCCCCAGCAGTGCAGGGGAGGTCTCGCTGCCGCCACACATCCTTCCAACACGTGTGGCCAGTCGACAGGCAGGCACAGGGCCTCTTCTTGTGCTGTTAGCCTGCACTGCTGAGTGCGCAAACCGGATACTTCTCACACTTCCCCACTGGGGCCTCTTTTGCCTGTTCAAGGATTCCACCTCCTTTTCTGTCTGTCAGTTCACAAAACACACCCCCTGTGAGGGCTGTGACTGGACTGCACTTACGTCCCTTATTCCACGCATCAATTTGGAGGAGAGCTGGCATCGTCACAGCACCGGGTCTTCAAACCGTGAGCCCCTCCTTACTCATGTCTTCTGTCATCTCCTTTTCTACTCTTTTCCAACAGTGTTGAAGCTTTTTTAAATTGATTTTTGAGAGAGAGAAACTGATTTGTTGTCCCACTTATTTCCACACTCGTTGGTTGCTTCTCGTATGTGCCTTGACCAGGGATTGAACCCGCAACCTTGGCGTATCGGGAGAGCGTTCCAACCAATGGAACCACCCGCCCAGGGCTCCTGTAATTTCTGGTGCTGGCATTTTGTAGGTCTCACTGGAGAAGTCTTGCATTTTTTGTTAATTCCATTGGGGGGGGGGCATGAATTGGTTGCCTCCCACGAGACCCAGTGGGAAGTGAACCTGCAGCCCAGGTACATGCCCTTGAATAGAAAGCGAACCCACGACCCTTCGGTATGTGGGCTGACACTAACCATTGAGCACACCGGCCAGGGCAGCATATTTTCCATTTTTGCCTAGATTTCGATGTTTCTTCATGCTGTTGTAAATGGTATCTATGAGAAACTTTCATTTTCTAACTGTTTGTAGCTAGTGTTACATGTAATAACTTGACTACCTTCCAGTCAGTTACCCAGAAAGTCTTGGCCAGTCTACACACACCATCAGCTGTGGCCAGGGTGGCGGTGGGGGCAGGAGATGGACATGACAGGGACAGGCTGGGACCCACGTGTCAGCCATACGCAGGGGAGAAGAGAACCAAGGACGAAGAATACTGCTTGGTTCCTTGGAAGCAGCCGAGAAGGCAGAAACCAAAGCGTTTATTTAAATAGAATAAACTGTAACTGGTACTTACGTCCCTTCTGGTAAGCTAGAGCATGGCTTTCTATGTTTCAAGATAGTTACACAAGTACGTTCCAAGCAACTCCACAATGAGCCCGTTTCATTAAAGATTTCCATGTAACACACATCAGACTGACACATCAGACACACAAAGTTCTGCTGTTAAATTTACACGGTGTCCATCCACTGTTGGGAACGCTGTCCCCCAGCACAAAGCAGCTGACCTCGCACTGAGAAATCTACGACTCTAACACCACGACGCATCTTACAAAACCTGCCACTCTTCCTTCAACCAGACCCGCATACTGCAGGAGGTGCTGCAGGAAACGTGCACTCAGGAGACAGGCAGCCGGGGAGGGGATGAAAACCACACCGACTGCTCAGCCTGGGCCTGGACAGATCCTGGAAAGGTGGAACTGGAGGCTCCATACAATTGGGACGTGCTCGTTGAGGGCCAAGCAGTAACCGTGCCAGGTGTCAGAAAAGGGCAGAGACGGAAACAGACTGAGGCCCATGTGAGGCGGCGGCTAGAGAAGTGTCTTCAAGCATGTCAGTCAGGGGCAGGATCTGCTGGCTGCCACCAGGGAGGGGGTGCGGGAGGTACCTGGCCAGCAACACAAGCTCACAGGGTCGGGAAGAGTAACTGCCAGACCAGGCCATGGAGGAAGCAACAGGATTGTAACAAATCACAAGTTCCAAGCAGGATCGCCACTGTCTTATGTGTGTGTCCAGTAAGAATTGAGTAAGAAAAAAGAGGGCTGTTACTAAAACAAAGCTGTTCCTGGCACCTGTGCCTGTTAATAGCACAAGACAGCAAAACCACACACTCTAAACCAAGAAATGCATCAAGCAATTCCCATGGCTGGAAGGAAGGGCAGCTCAGAGGCAGGTGGCTGGGCAAAGTGCTACTTAGCACAGATCCACAGCGGGCCGGGAGGAGGTACTCGCTACAGATCTACTGGGCACTTTCTGTAGGGTCCACAGGGCAGGAAGGAGGTACTCACTACAAATCGACTCTGTAGTTTTTCTAGGATTCTCTTCTCGTTTAGTGCCAAGGCTTCACCATTCCTCCTTTTAATTCTCTTTTTCTCTAGCTTTTTACAGGCATACATTTTCCCTGTAGCTCTCACTTGACAGGCGCAAACCTAGTTTTAAAGAGAAAAACAAAGGCTTACAGACCTAGCATTTCCTAGGCTGTTCAGAAAACTGCCTTCTGTGGCAACCCCCCTGTAAGGAGCAGCAGCCGAGACTGCTGCCATCGGATGTTTATTAGTTTATGGCTTGGCTCATTCCTGCCCCCGGCTTCCTCACCGACAGAGGGAGCTGGGCAATCAAGCAAAAGAACGTGCTCTACAAACTCAAGACAGTGGACAAATGGGACTTGGTCATGTGGGATCACAGTGCAGCCATTTAATTTAATGTCTCCCTATGCCTTCCTCCTTTTTGTACAAGAACAGAAGTCTTAGAAACTAAATAGATTCTTAATTTTTTAAAAGGTCAAGAATATAAGAACATATATTTCCAGAAGTCATGGACTTTCATACATTTATTCTACTTAGTTTTAAAGTAATATTTATATATTACTTAAGTTTATATTACAAAAATTTTCAAACATACAAAAGCGGAAAGAATGGCACACTACGCCCCCAGGTACCCGTCTCCAGGCTCTGGACTATCAACATATGGCTGACTCCCAGCCACGTCTCTCTTTCTCACACACACACGCACATACAAACCCCACTCCATATGCACCTACTGCACAACCACACACACGCACACACACACATACACATGCAACCCAGCACATCCCATACATACCTACTACAGAACCACACACATGCACACGCGCACACACACATACACATGTAACCCAGCACATCCCATACACATCTACTGCACAACCACACACATACACATGCACACACCACACAAGGATTACTTTAAAAGCAAATATAAAACATGACATAATTTTACCTATCAATAAAATTCTCCTTATGATAAGATATAAAGTTTACTGTGTAAAATATTTAAAGTATTCATAAGGACGATTAAAAAACTCACCTGAAATCCCAACACAACCATTAATATTTTGCGGGGCAGCCTCTCGTCCCTCCGTACATGCAAATGCAGGAATGTATGCCTGCCCCCCGAGCCCTGGCTTTTAGGGAAGACTGGGCCTGTATTATAGAGCAGACAGCATTTACCCCTCCCTTTTTCATCTTACAGTGTGCCTGTTTTCTCATCATTAAATGCTCTCCCAATATGTGACTGTTCCAAGATGTATTCCATCATTTCCCACCATGAAGTTGGCGCATCACCCTTGCACGTGTCTTTGCCTAGAGCCGGACACCTGCTCCTCCCCGCAGGTGGTGGGGCGGGAACTTGACCCTGGGTCCGCCCCACTCTTAGTGTGCACTCTTTCAGCTACACTCTGCTGCCCTGAGCCCTGCCAGCAGAGATGCCTGCCCAGTTCCCTTTGCACCGCGCTGGCCTCAGGACCCACTAGTCCATGTTGGAGGACTCAGAGCACAGATGAGAGCATTGCTGCTGACAAAACGTGCGCCCTTTCAAAGCTGCTGGCAGAGGTGCTGCCATGTGGGAAAATGAAATGCCCAAGGAGGTCTGGATCTGAAGGGCCCGAGGCTGTGTACACCAGGGTCCAGGGTCCTTAGCCGACATTCAGGACAGAAAGGGGCTGTCTGTCCATTGTCCTCTGGGCTGCCACAGTGGACAGCACATCCAGAACAAGTCTGTCAAAATCACAGTGCTCATTCCATCATTTGTTTGGAAACATAAGTAAATCTGTTACAGATCATAAACACACCAAGCCTTTCACAAGTTAACACTGCTAACAGGTTCCTACTAAATCCACTTTTAAAACTTTATGTGGCACCTGGCTGGAGTGGCTCAGCGGTTGAGCGTCGACCTAGGATCCAGGCGATCGGGGTTCAATTCCCAGTCAGGGCACATGCCCGGGTTGCAGGCTCGAACCCCAGTCGGGGACATGCAGGAGGCAGCCCATCAATGACTCTCTCTCATTACTGATCTTTCCCTCTCTCCCTTCCTCTCTCTGAAATCAATAAAAAACATCATATGTGGCTATAAGAGTAACTTCATTCTTTTGTAAACACAGGACCCGTGTTTGAAACTCCTGTTCCTCTGTCCTTTGATAGAAATCTGAGCTTTGCGCTGGCGATCATGGAAGGACGGACAGCAGGAACCGAAGAGAGAAATCCCTTTGCTGCTCTGGGAGGTGGTCGCACACATGATGTATTTCCCACAGAAACATCTATTATGAAGGCGTTAATAACAAGCACTTGGTTGGATTATGCAAAATATCCTAAAAGAATTGCCCTGGCCGGTGTGGCTCAGTTGGTTGGCTGTCGTCCTGTGCACCAAAAGGTTGCCGGTTGGATTCCTGGTCAGGACACATACAAGAATCAACCAATGATGCATAAATAAGTGGAACCAAATCAGTGTTTCTCTCTGTCCCCCTTCTTCTCTCTCTCTAAAAAAAAAAATCAATAAATTAAAATAAATTAAAAAAAGAATCTGAACATTCTTTTCAATCAGGACAGATTGAGCTTAAACACTGGACATGGGAAAAGAACTTCTTTATGATGTGAAAGATAAAAACAAAGATGATTTCCCCCCCCCTGAATTTCCTAATTTTTTAAAAGCTTTTAGCAGAGTACCTTTTGCTGAAAGTTCAGTCTTATTGCTCATGATTGGCTAAAACGATTGTCCAAACACACGGTAAGGAAATAAATGCCCTGGTTAAGTTGATGCACGACCTGAAGATTGTGCCTCTCAAACACCCCTCTGTCTAGTATGCCCCTCAGTCACATATTTACTCACCTCTCCAAACCCACCTTTTCCTAGAACTCTGTAATATCTAAATGTTTTCTTTGTTACTGGTCGCCTAAGTAATAAAAAAAGAAAAGTTTCAGGTCTCACATCACATTGTTATTTTAAAGCAGAAAAGCCTACTCAGTTCTTGTTCTAGGCTTATTTATGGACCCCACTGGTCAAGAGGAGTGCCCAGGACAGGAAGCACAGGGAACATTTTTATTGAAAACTGATGATAGACGCAGAACAGTCTGGTTATCTTTACTAACAAAAGACTAGTCTGCGACCAGCCCACACTGTGTATTATTTGCATCTTCTCAGGCATCCCCCTTGGGCCTGTCAGAAAGCTGCTAAGGAAAAGGCCGTATCTACAGTGCGCTTTGAAAAACAGATGCCTCAAAAACGTGTGAACTAGAACTGGAAATGTGGTCAGTCAATAATTGCAATAGTAACAAGAGCAGAGGCAGCTAACACTTTATGAGCATGTACTCTGTACACAAGGACTAGGAATGCTAAGCAGGTCACACGCGCTTCTCAGGTGACCCCAGCGGTCCAGTGGCAGGGATCACAAGTACCTCCACTTACGGAGCAAGGACCTGAAGCTCAGGAAGGTAAGTCCCTTGCCTGAGGCCACAAGCTCACAGGAGGCTGGCACAGCCTGAGACCCAATGGATTGTACTCCTGTGACCCTGGGACATGTCTTATTTTCTAACTACAGCACCAACAGGGCTGACTACCATTTTAAAAAAACAAGAGAGAGTCCACTGAATGGTAAGAAACTAACAGCACACATTAAATAATTTATGTACAAAAATACTATATACGAACCAAGATTTCCAGTAGTATTTTGACAAATGGAAAAGTATATGTCAATCAGGGTGACTGTGAGAAGTTACTACTTGTTTTCACTGAATGCAAGTTAGAACATACCTTTCCAGCCACTTCCACTGTAAAAACCGAGAAAAGTATGGGCTTTCCTGGTATTCTGCAAACGGTTTTCCACTTAAATAGCTATGGACAGCTCTAGAAAAAGAGTGCAGGAGTTATACACCTGTGTTTCCCTGCAGCAGGAAAACAACTGTGTTAGTGCACTGATGAACCCTGGGCACGGGAAAGTCCATCACACACACTGCTCCACACACTGCACCTCCCGATTACAGGATTCCACAACAGCTGCTAGTGCTGCCAGAGAACAGAGGCGGAGTTCAAAAGAAATGAAATCAGTCTGCCCTCCCAAAATAAGAGGTTCTTTTTATGTATATGGACACGAGAGAAATAAATACTTGATAAAAACAATGTACCAGTAAAAAGACAATAGCTGAAATATATTCAAAGTGTGTGTGTGCGCGCATGTGCATAGGCCTGTGTATTTCAGGAGGGAATGTAGACATCTTGTAAATAGAACAGAGTGAATGTCTAACTGATCACAGGCACAAGGCAGAAAATGTTAGTCTGTGACACCATCTTTTTTAACACTGAAAATAAGGCACTCAATGAATTATTTTAAGCTACACATTTCTCCACATTTTATGCTACTGGCCGTGCCTCTTAGTTTTAATTATAACTTTATTATAGAACAAAATTCTTACTGGGAGTAGCTAAGAGACAGAATGCAGCCTGTCCTTATCTACTGAGTTTACTGAAGCACTGTGCTGGGGCAAACACATTCTGAGGGTCCCTACAAGTCCCCAGACCTTTTCAGAGGAGTTCGATAACAAAACTGTATTTACAACAATAGTAAGACGTATGTGCTTTTTTTTTTTAATCTTCACCCAAGGATATTTTTTCCCCAATGTTTTCCAGAGAG